AGGCAGGTATAGATTTTTATTTAATTTTTTCCAGGGTGTTCTTAAGGCTCAGTTTCTACCTATGCAGATATTTTTCTGGGAAGTTGAGTTTCATCTGCACTTTACATACTTTACCATTGAACTCGAACACACATTTTGATTGGCGCACACGAAGGCAGCAGCAAGCATGACTTTTTTTAAACACACATCACGCCTAAAATGCACAGGGTTTAAAGTACGTATGTGAGTAGTAAGAGGTGACAGGGTCACTTTAATTGTAGGCAATGAAACACCAGCTACACTGTGAACACCGATTCTCAGCACCATGACGAAGCCGCATGGTGAAAACTACTAGTGCCAAAATCCAACAACTGAAAATCAATGTACTGCTGATCTATAAGAGCCGTGTACAATCAATCCAGAAGAGCCATGACCACCACTTTGGACTACACCGCTAGACACATGTAGGCACAGAGAACATATGGAGCACACAGGCACACGTACAAACTATTTATACAGAGCCCAAATTATAACCCAAGAACAGTAAACCTATCATTTGCTTTCCCAAGTTCTGGACAGCAGTCTTATTTCCCTTCAAGTTCTACGCAGGAAGACATTGGTTAACAAGACCAGACAAGACAGCAATATAGGAAGTGACATTGAGCTTGTACAAAATGTACTGATCAGTCTCTCAGCGGGGCCCTGGGTGAATGTGCTGATCAGTCTCTCAGCGGGGCCCTGGGTGAATGTACTGATCAGTCTCTCAGCGGGGCCCTGGGTGACTGTACTGAAGAAAATAAATCTATTGTGCTTATCTCAAGATTCTTCTCAGCTTCAAGAACAAATACACCAATTTGTCTATTTTCATGTCATGGCTATAGGCAACTTAAACCCCTTCTCCACCCAAAATTATTCATTTATAGTCTATATTTTAAAAGGAGTGGAGAAGGACCATTGGGATCAGTCTCCACTTTCAGGCCATATCCGAATCATGTCCAGACCAGAATAGTTTGTTCCCGGACCCAAAAAAAGTAGACATGTGCACCGGCAGAAAAATGTGTTTAGTTTCGTTTTCATTCAGATTTTCCGTTATTTCTTTTTTCGGGATTCGGGTCCGAAAGTCAATTTGTTTCGGGAAATTAGTTAGCGGTAGTCTGTACGAATTTGCATTTCTGGGCGAATATTCGTTGTAGCAAAGTGACATTAGACAAAAAGGAAATAGTATGATTTTTTTTTTTTTTTTACAAAAAAAAAAGGCGGCGTGGGGTTTCCCCCCATTTGATTCCAGACCCTTTAGGTCTGGTAGGAAGGTAAGGAGGGACCCCCCAAGTTGATCCGGGAATGTGCTCGGATCAAGGGTCTGGTAGGAAGTTTAGGGGGGACCCCGCATTTTTTCCCTGTTTTGGGGTGGGGTGGGGTTCCCCCTTAAAATTCCTACCAGACCTAAAGGGCCTGGTATGGATTTGGGGCAAACCACACACACTTTTTTTTTAAGTTGGGGGGGTCCCTCCTAACATTCCTACCAGACTTAAAGGGTCTGGTATCAATTGGGGGGGACCTCACACTTTTTTTGTTCTCTTCTGCAGACTAAAAAACGTCACTTTGCTGCAATGAATATTCATCGAGAAACGAAAATTTGTACAGACTACCGCTAACTGATTTCTTCAGAAGTTCTAGTTAATCGGAAATTCGGATTCGTTTTCATTCGTCATATCTGTCATTTTGAGATTTGGATATATCAGAATTTCTGAAAATTTGTCTAAATAACTAATCTTTCCGAAACGAATCGCACATGTCTACAAAAAAGCACCACAATGTATCCCTATGGTATTTCTGGGCTCAGTGCAGTCTGTTCCGGACCAGACAAAAAAAATACTGCTGGTCTCATATTGTCTGGTCTGGAATGCACTGGAATGCATGGAAAGGCATCAGAAATGCATACCAACACATGCAAACGCACTGGAACGCACCTGTAAGCCCATGGCAAATCGCAATGCACCTCGTTCCAGATCTGGTCCGGAAAATGGTGTGAACCTGGCCTTACATTCCTGTGACACCATGGCAGGGGCAGTTGCTGCAGTCCTCGTCACTTACAATGACTTTGACCGATGTCACTAGGAGCGGCAATAAGGATAAATCTTGCCAATGGGGACACAGCAATTGTGGTCTGACAAAGGTTCTTACCCTTCATCTCAGAAGCCAAAACTAGAAAAAAAAATGGATGCAATGTTAAGCTTTAAAAAAGCCTCACAAGCTTTCATTATATCTATCCAGTGAGCCAATGAAATGTAATACCAGTTCCACATGTCCTGCCCTATTAATAGCTGCTACAGGCAATACCAGACCTTTGTGTTTCTATTTCATTGTTAAGTATTCCTGAGCTTCTAATAAAAATGTATCGTTCATTTGTGGTAAGTAGACATTTTTGGTTATTACTTTTTAATTGTATTAATCAGTTTGAAGACTGTGCTACTGGCCCTTTGTTGCTTCTCAAGGACTCTCGTCACCTCACAGGATTTCTATCCCTAGGGAGAATAGTGACAGTCTACTACTGTGAAATAATACGTTTAGAAATGCTTCAGCATTTTTAACTTAAAGCTGAACCCCCCTTACCTTCAATCCTACACAGTTGTAAAGACTCCTCGCCTTTACTGATACTGCTTCATCTGATTCACTGTACACTGAGCTTCTCACGGTGTGCATTAGAAGCTGCAATGGGTCAGATAGATCTCACCTTATTTCCTGGCTGGAGAATATCCAGCATCATCTAGCTCAGGGGTAGACAAACCCTGATCTAGCTCTTCCCGCCTCAGCTTTACCTCTCCCTGGCCCACCCCTTTAAGTCATTTGATTCAAGTTCTTTTAGTTGCGGAGACTCAGCATCACATGTGGGCGTTACATAGGGTGGTCTACATGCAATTACATTCTGCCTAGGAATGGCCTCTCCTCCAGACTGATATCCACCCATCAAGGTATTTTGATATTTGCATAACCCCCTGCATGCATCATGGCTGAGGGCTCTTGAGAAAGTACTAGGGGTGCTGCAATTTGTTTTTAGGACGCTATGTACACTACAGCACCCTGCCAACCTTTCCCACCAGCCGTGATCTTCCTACAATCAAAACAAACATTTTATTTAAAAATGTGTTCATGAAGGGGTAAAAGAAGAACCAGGGAAGGCAACATATAAGCTGATTGAACTTTAGCTTTAAGGAAGAATTATGGTGTGAGTGAAAAACACTCATCCCCATAATTCAAGCCGACCTGCGACACTGAAGTTGTCACAAGTCGGCTCTATGGATCGGGAAGTCAGCGAACACACACTGCCGATCTCTGATTTCCTGATCCTCTCCCTGCAGAGAGCAGGGATTCCCCTTCCCCAGAGAGCGCAGGGATTCTCCCTTCCCATTTCTCCGGCGCTGACTGGGGGAACAGGAGAGGGGGCGGGCACAGCTGGCTAGAGGCAGAGCCAGCTGTCAGCCAGTGAATCTCGCCAATATTGTCAGGATCTGTCCCGGCTGTGGCACGGCTCAGTACTCTCAGCAAATAGCCAGCAATAGCCCGCTATGTATTGAGTTTTGGGTCACCGGAGGACATTAGTATATGTCCTCCGGTGACCCTGAAGAGAACCAGGAGCAAAAAAGGTTGCCCCATAGTTCTCCTTTAATATGTCTGTATAGCTTGTCTTCCAAGGTCCTCTGAAATTTCTGTCAGAACAACTTCATCATATAGGTTCACATACTTTTTCGATCAAGGCTTGTGATTATTTAAACCATTTGTTCAATAAAGATGTAATGTAAAACATTGCATGTGTTGTTTGTTAACTAGGACAGCCTTTGCTTATTACTGTGGCTTGGATGAAGATCAGACCACATTTAAGGAGTCTGTCACACATAAATCCAGGCAATCCCAAAGGGTTCACAAACTTTGTCTTGCAACTGTTCACAAAAACTGCAAACTATTATTAGAAACAAGTTGTTTTACATTGGTTACTAGTCTATCCAGCGACATGAACAGGCACAACCCTAAAATAAACAAAGACTGAAGTTTCCCTTTAAGTTGGCCAACTCTAACCTATAAAACCTTCCACAAAGCTAACATAGGCCAAGC